CATTGGCGGCAAGCAATCAGAATGAAGTAGTCCACCGCTTGAGAGGTGTTCAGAGAACACAGACCTGTAAACTTTGGTTCCGACCACAGTTGTTCCCAAGAGTTTGATCATTGCGGTTGCCGGATCATCAATTATTGAAAATCGCGACGACGCGGGGCCCCCTAATCACGCGGGGCCCCCCCGCGGTGCGTGCCCTGCGGGCCCGTCCGCTACGCCACTGCTGGACTCCCAGCTTGGCTAGGCTGGTCAAGCTGGTTTTAGCTGGTCATCTAATCTGGTCACCAGCCTGAAAGTGGCCACAAGCCCTCTAAAACCAGCCTGGTCGACCAGCTAAAACCAGCCAACCAGTCTATGCTGGTTGAAGCTGGATTTTTCAGCAGGGACAGAATCGTGAGAAAATTGTGATCTTTATTTTAAGCAAAAAAACTGCGATTCTCATATTAGTCAGAATCGTGCAGCTCTAGTGTGAAGATACTAGATGTGCAGCACCTGAAACTGAATACTGGAAGCCTGTGCTGGCATTTCTCCTGCGGTGTTGCTACCAGTGTGTGAGGAGGATTGCATTGACAATCCAACACAACGGGCAGCACATTGAACACATTTTATAAGTGGTCAGAAACTTGTAAACAACTCTTGAAAGAATAAAGTTACGTTAAAACCAAGCACACCATTGTTTTTTGTTTTTCTTGAGAAATTCCCAATAAGTTTGATGTGTCACATGACCCTTTTCCTATTGAAAATAAAACTGAAGCTGCGTCCCAAATGGCACACTATACACTATGCACTCATGCACTATGCACTTACACACTCAACAGGATAGTATATGTATATAGTGGCGTCCCAAATGGCACACTAATGTTTTTTTACTAAGCGGAAATTCAAACCGTTTCCCTGATGACGTTTGACGGTCGCTAAATCAGTGAAATAAATGACTGAGGTATCAAGTAATACCTGCCGTGAGTATTGCCGCATTCACCATCGGGAGGCGCTATAATCACTCTCGTAGGAGAATTTTGCTTTCACAATTTAAAATAAATGAAGTTATTCAACATGTGCCGATAGCTCCGCCCCATCCGCTACGTAAGCAAACCTGCGGTCGTTGTGTGTGTGAAGTGTCCATCATTACACACTTCATTTTAGCGGCTGAATGAGTGCATCATCCGGGTCATTAAAGTGCACTTATTATTATTAGAGTTTTCAGTGTGAACGCACTACTTACACTATTTATACTAGAAAATGGCGTAGAATAGTGCACAAGTATGCGATTTGGGACGCAGCTAAAAGTTGGATCCAAGATGGCTGACTTTAAAATGGCCACCATGGTCACCACCGTGAGGGCAGCATGACTGTATTTTGCCTAGAACGCCACTTAAGCTTGCACCGTTGCTGCTAATAACACTAAACTTTTCTGATTTTGATCATGATACAATAATGTGCACCTTTTGTAAAGCTGCCTTGAATCGATAATAATTGTAAAAAGTACCAAACAAATACATTTCATTTAATTACGCGAGGCAGTAGCGCAGTGGGTAGCACGTTCGCCTCACAGCAAGATGGTCGCTGGGTCAAACCTCGGCTCAGTTGGTGTTTCTGTGTGGAGTTTGCATGTTCTCCCTGTCTTCGCGTGGGTTTCCTCCGGGTGCTCTGGTTTCCCCCACAGTCCAAAGACATGCGGTACAGGTGAATTGGGTAGGCTAAATTGTCCGTAGTGCATGAGTGTGTGTGTGGATGTTTTCAAGAGATGGGTTGCGGCTGAAAGGGCATCCGCTGTGTGAAAACTTGCTGGATAAGTTGGCGGTTCATTCCGCTGTGGCGACCCCGGTTTAATAAAGGGACTAAGCCGACAAGAAAATGAATGAATGAATAATTTAATTACAAATCTGTACGGTTTCTTTATTATACAAACACACACACACACACACACACACACACACACAACTCCCTCCCTAAGAGCATTTCAACTCACTCGCTAGCCTTTAAGTGGAAGCCTCCTGGAAATACACGGCGCAGCAGAACCTACTATTTGGATGGCGTTGGGTTTTATTGTTTCGAGTAATGTTTCATGTTTGAGGTAATTAAAACTATTACACTGCTAGCTTTTATCTCAGCGCTCAGCGCCGCTCTCTTTAGCACAAGCGCAGATTTAAGAGTGTTACACACGAGCGGCTCGAGAGAGGAGAAATCTTTGATGTCCCTGACACACCGTGAAATGAGACAAACCATGGAGCAATGAATCTCCGGCTGTTTTATGCGTTTTGTACCTTCAGGCCAGACACTCCAAGCCGGAGAAGGAACAAGCCAAGTTCAGTGGCTCCTACAAGATACCGAAAATAAGAGCAGCGTTTGAAGTCGGTGGCCGTGCATCATGCATTACTTTAGCTTAAGCAAAATACATGCTTAATTCAGTACCGCTCGCTCACCTGTCAAGAGAGACTTAGCCAGTCCCTTTCAAAGCATGCCAGTTTAGTAGATGGCCAGCGGGAAGGTCAAATGGCAACTGCTTTCTAATCATGCATGAATAGGGAAACACCAAGCATTTCCATGTCAAATAAGCTTATAAACACTGGATCACTCTTGTTTATTCCAATATGCATTTTGGAGTGAGGATCAATACGTTGATTAAGATACTATTTAGCCTACAGGGCCACTGTAGTGCAGTACACTGCAAAAAAAAAATGCTTTTCTTACTTAGTTTTTTTGTCTTGTTTCTAGTCCAAATATCTAAAAATTCTTATATCAAGAAACATTTTCTAGGCAAGCAAAATATATTGTCTTATTTTCAGAAATAATATCCCAATATTAAGGGAGTTTTTCCTTGAAACAAGCAAAATGATCTGCCAATGGGGTAAGCAAATTAATCTTGTTTTTCCTTTTGACATAAGATTATTTTGCTTACCCCATTGGCAGATTATTTAGCTTGTTTTAAGGGAAAACTCACCTAATTTTGGCATATTATATCTTAAAACAAGACAGTATGTTTTGCATGTCTAAAAATTCTTCTTGATTTAAGAGTTTTTAGATATTTGGACTAGAAACAAGACAAAAAAAATCTAAGTTAGAAAAGCATTTTTTAAATCTAAGTTAGAAAAGCATTTTTTGCAGTGTAATCAAACATGCTTGAAGCAGATCAACAAAGTATCACTATAAACCTCCAGGCAAGTGTGTTAAAGTAAGTTAGTCCCTTTATTAATCTGGGCTCGCCACAGCGGAATGAACCACCAACTTATCCAGTACGTTTTTATGCAGCGGATGCCCTTCCAGCCGCCACCCATATTTGGAAAACATCAACAAACACTCATTCACACACACTATGGACAATTTAGCCTACCCAATTCACCTCTATCGCATGTCTTTGGATTGTGGGGGAAACCGGAGCACCCAGAGAAAACCCACGCGAACGCAGGGAGAACATGCAAACTCCACACAGAAACGCCAACTGAGCCTAGGATCGAACCAGCGACCTTCCTGATGTGAGGCAACAGTACTACCTACTGCGCCACTGCTTCGCCTCAAGAGATAGTTATGTGATCGCTTGCTTACCCGTTACTTTTTCTATTCCTGTTTGTGTTATTGTTATTGTTCTATTTAACAAAAAATAACAGGCCACTTTATTAGGTACACTTGTCCAACTGCTTGTTAACACCAAACTCCCGCTCTCCCTCAGGAAGCCAATACGGAAGTAACTAAAACTGCTATTCATCCGAAATTCTGGTAGTCCTGGCCGCTCCTGGCTCCAAAATAGAGCAGATTTCTATTGAGCCCACTGTTAGACTGGCCAACTTTACAGCAGAAAAAAAAAGGTGTTTACAGACTGGTACAACAAAAGATTTTGGTTAATACAGGTAATATTACCCTTCATGACAACTGTGAGGGGGTGAATTTTTTTATAACTCATCCGTTTCCTTTATATTAAGCTTGCATAATTAAGGGAGTGGCCACTTGAGTGACAGCTAGGTCTCGTTTGTCGCCGTCACGTCACCTCAGCTGAATCCTGCAGATTAGCCACTGAACTCGGCATGTTTATTGTATTTCTGTGTTGTTTTATGTGGCTTTACACAGTCGACTGCCTTTTGGACTTGTTTCCTACAATTACTAGATGGCATGGCATGCTGTGTGCACTTAATTGTGCTCACAAACCATTCACATGGCCTCCGTTTCCCATGTGGGTAAAGTTATATACTTATATACCATCTCTATACATGTATTTGTTATGATTTAAGATCATTTATCGTTTATATTTAGAGCTGTAATGCACTCCAGAATCTGTCAGATTGATTAGCTGTAGGCTCTAGAACCGTCATGTGAAGTGTTGTCATACAGTGTTATGCTGGATTTCATCAATATTCTTACATTAAATAACACAGACTATGATCTGAAGTGTTTGGAAGTAATTTGCGTTTTGCTCCTGTTGAAAAACCTCATAAGAACAATGTTTAGTGGCTCAATGTGTTACAGCAGTGTTTTTAAAAGTCTAAACACTTTATTGATATAGTATACAACCAAGCACATGTGGTCAGAATACAAACGAGTCACAGGTGATAAAGTATTAAGCGTTTCTCCCAAAGTAAAGTGTGTCTGAACCAGGTCCAAGCAAAATGCCAGCAGGTGTTTGTAGCTCCGCCCACTCTCCGCCTCTTTGCCCTTGTTTGGTATCCCGCCGTGGGTGTGGTGACGCACGAACAAAATGGCGACGGTTGGCCGCGCCTACTTGTGGCTTCTTTTGCGCTCTTTAGAAACCTATGGGTGACGTCACGGATAGTACGTCCATATATTTTACAGTCTATGGTTAACACAAAGTTTTCTAATCAGCCAATCACATGGCAGCAACTCATCGCATTTAGGCATGTAGACGTGGTCAAGAGGATCTGCTGCAGTTCAAAGCGAGCATCAGAATGGGGAGGAAAGGGGATTTAAGTGACTTTGAACGTGGCATGGTTGTTGGTGTCAGACGAGCTGGTCTAAGTATTTCAGAAACTGCTGATCTACCGGGATTTTCACGCACAACCAGGGTTTACAGAGAACCAGCAACCTTCTTGCTGTGAGATGATGGTGCTAAGCCACTTTGCCACCCCTTATGGATAACTAAAACTTTTCGATTTTACTCTCACAGGATGTTTTAAGTGTCTTCTTGAAGCAGTCTCGTGGCTATAAATTGAGGATCGTTGATTATGAAAAGACACTGTGTGTATTATTTTGACGTTTCTCTCCTTTTTTCTCCCCCAGGGTGGTCTGATCGCTCTCCTGTTACTCATCTTGCTTTTTACACTGGTACTCTACACTCGCCAGCGCTGGTGCAGACGCCGCCGGGCCCCACAGAAAAGCGCCAGCACTGAAGCCACACACGAGATCCACTACATCCCCTCCGTCCTGCTTGGACCGGCTCAAAACAGGGACAGTTTCCGCGGAGCCAGACCCCTCCAGCACAGCTCCGTCATCGGGATGCCCATCCGGGAAACTCCCATCCTGGATGATTGTGATTGTGAAGAGGACGAGCAGCCGGGACATCTGCTGGATGGTAAAGCACGTCTGGATGATGACCTGTGCAGCCAGGGCACACATAACATGGACAGTTTGGGGAAAGTGATGGGGGAAGCCAACCACAAACACAGTCTGGATAACAGAGGTGAGTAACTGATCGCTGTCCGCTTTTGGGAATGCATGTGGAAGGTTGATATGTCATGATCTGAACGTTTACTGAAGCTTGCTGCATTTTGTTCATTGCTATGACTTGGCAAGTAGAGGCTTTTGGAAGTAATTTTGGATCTGTGGTTCGGTTTGGAGATTGAGGCTGAAGGAGAATGTTGAAAACCTGAAACCATTGACTTCCGTAGTTGTTTTTCCTGCTATGGACGTCAGTGGTTTTCAGCTTTCTTACTATGAGACACTTTTGGAAGTAATTTTGGTTTTGGAGATTTGGGATGTACAATTTTACAGGTTAGATTTAAATTGTGTTGTGTTATAGAGCAATATACTGAAAAAAATAGCTTGAGAAGACACTAGAGGCCATGGTCTTTAGCCTCCTTGTTAGAGCAACCGACTCCCATGCAAAGAATCTCCCGTTCGATCTCAGCTCAGATCGGGTTGGGTGCAGTAGGACTGGTGGTGGGTTACATGTAAGGGCTCGTCTGGGATGGGAGTGAGGTTAAGGGACTGTCTAGTGACAGTATTAAATAGCCCTGTTTTAGGCCAGACGTCTATGTTTCTTCTATTAGACGCCTTTTAAACACAAAATTGCTTAGTGGGTGGCTATTGGCCAACTGAGATTTTGGAATTACACATATGTTCATAGTGAGTTGTGTTTACGTCGATCTCATCACATTAAAGACAATTTATACGACTCATCCATGATGAAAAAGTGCTTACCCTCATTAGCATTTGAGTGTACAGGTAAAAAAAAGTAATTAAAAACTAGCCAACAGCACTGTCGGCTGTGAAAAACTAGCTTAGATCGCCATCTACTGAGAGCTGTTAAATACTAGCTTAAAGTGCCATACTGTTAAACATTTGCCTTTAACACCACTACTTTTAAAAGTAATTTAGAGCACCATCTGCTGTTTAAAAACTAGCTTAGAGCGCCATCTAATGTTAAAAATTTGCCTACAGCACCATCTGCTGTTAAAAACTAGACTAGAGCTCTATCTACTCTTAAAAACTAGCTTAATGCACCTGCTGCCTAAAGTTAAAAACTAACCTAGAGCGCCATCTGTTGTTAAAAACCAGCCTAGAGTGCTGTCTACTGTTAAAAACTAGCATAGAGCGGCATCAACTGTTAAAAACTAGCTTAATGCACCTGCCGTCCACTGTTAAAAACTAGCCTAGAGCGCCATCTGCTGTTAAAAACTAGCATAGAGTACCATCTGTTGTTAAAAGAGCACTGTCGACTGTTAAAAACTAGCATAGAGCGCCATCTACTGTTAAAAACTAGCTTAATGCACCTGCCGCCTACTGTTAAAAACGAACCTAGAGTGCCATCTGTTGTTAAAAACTAACCTAGAGCGCCATCTACTGTTAAAACCTTGTCTAGAGCACCATCTGCTTTTAAAAATTAGCTTAATGCACCTGACGTCTACTGTTAAAAATTAACCTAGAGCGCCATCTGCTGTTAAAAACTAGCATAGAGTGCCATCTGTTGTTAAAAACTAGCCTAGAGCGCTGTCTACTGTTCAAAAGTAGCCTACAACGCCATCTACTGTTAAAACTTGGCTAGGGCACCCGACTCCCATACAAAGAATCTCCCGTTCGATCTCAGCTCAGATCGGGTTGGGTGCAGTAGGACTGGTGGTGGGTTACATGTAAGGGCTTGTCTGGGATGGGAGTGAGGTTAAGGGACTGTCTAGTGACAGTATTAAATAGCCCTGTTTTAGGCCAGACGTCTATGTCTCTTCTATTAGACGCCTTTTAAACACAAAATTGTTTAGTGGGTGGCTATTGGCCAACTGAGATTTTGGAATTACACAAATGTTCATAGTGAGTTGTGTTTACGTCGATCTCATCACATTAAAGACAATTTATACGACTCATCCATGATGAAAAAGTGCTTACCCTCATTAGCATTTGAGTGTACAGGTAAAAAACTAATTAAAAACTAGCCAACAGCACTGTCTGCTGTGAAAAACTAGCTTAGATCGCCATCTACTGAGAGCTGTTAAATACTAGCTTAGAGTGCCATACTGTTGAACATTTGCCTTTAACACCACTACTTTTAAAAGTAGTTTAGAGCACCATCTGCTGTTTAAAAACTAGCTTAGAGCGCCATCAACTGTTAAAAATTTGCCTAAAACGCCATCTACTGTTAATAGTAGTTTAGAGCGCCATCTACTCTTAAAAACTTGTCTACAGCACCATCTGCTGTTAAAAACTAGACTAGAGCTCTATCTACTCTTAAAAACTAGCTTAATGCACCTGCTGCCTAAAGTTAAAAACTAACCTAGAGCGCCATCTGTTGTTAAAAACCAGCCTAGAGTGCTGTCTACTGTTAAAAACTAGCATAGAGCGGCATCAACTGTTAAAAACTAGCTTAATGCACCTGCCGTCCACTGTTAAAAACTAGCCTAGAGCGCTGTCTGCTGGTAAAAACTAGCATAGAGTGCCATCTGTTGTTAAAAACTAGCCTAGAGCGCTGTCTACTGTTCAAAACTAGCCTAGAACGCCATCTACTGTTAATACTTGGCTAGAGCGCCATCTGCTGTTAAAAAACTAGCTTAGAGCGCCATCTACTGTTAAAAAACTAGCCTAGAGCGCCATCTACTGTTAAAAAGAAGCCTTGAGCACTATCTGCTGATAAAACTAACCTAAAGCGCCATCTGCTGTTAAAAACTAGCGTAGAGTGCCATATGTTGTTAAAAAACTAGCCTAGAGCGCTGTTTACTGTTAAAAACTAGCTTAGTGCACCTGCCGTCTGCTGTTTAAAATTAACCTTGAGCACCATCTACTGTTAAAATTACTTTAGAGCACCATCTGCTGTTTAAAAACTAGCATAGAGCGCCATCTACTGTTAAAAACTAGCTTAATACACCTGCCATCTGCTGTTAAAAACTAACCTTGAGCACAATCTACTGTTAAAAGTAGTTTAGAGCACCATCTGCTATTTAAAAGCTAGCATAGAGCGCCATCTACTGTTAAAAATTTGCCTAGAGCACCATCTACTGTTAAAAGTAGTTTAGAGCGCCATCTACTGTTTAAAAACTAGCTTAGAGCGCCATCTACTGTTAAAATCTTGTCTAGAGCCCCATCTGCTGTTAAAAATTAGCTTAATGCACCTGCCGTCTACTGTTAAAAACTAGCCTAGAGCGCTGTCTGCTGGTAAAAACTAGCATAGAGTGCCATCTGTTGTTAAAAACTAGCCTAGAGCGCTGTCTACTGTTCAAAACTAGCCTAGAACGCCATCTACTGTTAATACTTGGCTAGAGCGCCATCTGCTGTTAAAAAACTAGCTTAGAGCGCCATCTACTGTTAAAAAACTAGCCTAGAGCGCCATCTACTGTTAAAAAGAAGCCTTGAGCACTATCTGCTGATAAAACTAACCTAAAGCGCCATCTGCTGTTAAAAACTAGCGTAGAGTGCCATATGTTGTTAAAAAACTAGCCTAGAGCGCTGTTTACTGTTAAAAACTAGCTTAGTGCACCTGCCGTCTGCTGTTTAAAATTAACCTTGAGCACCATCTACTGTTAAAATTACTTTAGAGCACCATCTGCTGTTTAAAAACTAGCATAGAGCGCCATCTACTGTTAAAAACTAGCTTAATACACCTGCCATCTGCTGTTAAAAACTAACCTTGAGCACAATCTACTGTTAAAAGTAGTTTAGAGCACCATCTGCTATTTAAAAGCTAGCATAGAGCGCCATCTACTGTTAAAAATTTGCCTAGAGCACCATCTACTGTTAAAAGTAGTTTAGAGCGCCATCTACTGTTTAAAAACTAGCTTAGAGCGCCATCTACTGTTAAAATCTTGTCTAGAGCCCCATCTGCTGTTAAAAATTAGCTTAATGCACCTGCCGTCTACTGTTAAAAACTAGCCTAGAGCGCTGTCTGCTGGTAAAAACTAGCATAGAGTGCCATCTGTTGTTAAAAACTAGCCTAGAGCGCTGTCTACTGTTCAAAACTAGCTTAGAGCGCCATCTACTGTTAAAAAACTAGCCTAGAGCGCAATCTACTGTTAATACTTGGCTAGAGCACCATCTGCTGTTAAAAACTAGCCTAGAGCGCCATCTACTGTTAAAAAGTATCTTAGAGTGTCATTGACTGTTAAAAACTAGCCTAGAGTGTCATCTACTGTTAGACTTGAGCACAATCTTCTGTTGAAAACCTCAGAGTCAGTTGTTTTATTCATTCATTATTATTCCTATTGTTAGACGTCTATTACATTTTCACTGGCAGCCCTATTTTAGACTTGTTTTAGCCAAGACACCTATGTTTGGACGTCTATTAGATGTTTTTTTCACAAAACACAAACTTGCTTGCAGTCCAGTGCAACTATTCCTTCACAGTTCACAGTATCTTTTTGGTGCTATTAAAGTGCTTTATTCTTTGTCACAGCATGCTAATGGTAGTTGTGATGGGATTTTTATTTTATTTTATTTTTTCCTTTCATCCTTTTTAAGTGACACTGATGTGGCACATTTGAGGATATCTGGGGGTTTGATGTGAAGTCACCTGCCAACCACTGGCTAATTATAGCCATTGACCTGAATTCATTGTAAGACATAGCCTGAGAGAACCGAGAGAGAGAGAGAGAGAGAGAGAGAGAGAGGTTGACTCTGTTCTATCTATCTATCTATCTATCTATCTATCTATCTATCTATCTATCTATCTATCTATCTATCTATCTATCTATCTATCTATCTATCTATCTATCTATCTATCTATCTATCTATCTATCTATCTATCTATCTAATCTGTCTATTTTTGAATGTGCAAAAACCACTAGAACATATGTTTTGATGACTTGTG